TAGGGGACCTTAATGAAAACAAAACTATTAAGTAAATATTTTTCTATCCACACCAATTCTAAGAAAAAAGTAGGTAGCCCCTTTCCAATGGAGATTGACTCATGGGTAATAATCCGAGTGGCAAAGAGACAATAAAAAGACACAAAACAAGAAGAACAAATTAACAGAATTGGAAGGAACAGTCCATTCCCTCTACTCAAGCAGGAGACCCTATATCGTTTCAGACAAGTGGTTGTCCAATGTCTTCTTAAAAGAGATGGAACACCCAGAACTTCTGAAAGTAAGCTGTTCCACTGATTTAATTGTCCCCACTGTCAGGAAATTTCTCCTTATTTTTAGGTTGCTTCTCTCCTTGATTAGTTTCCATCCACTATTTCTTGTTCCGCCTTCAGGTGCTTTGGAGAATAGCTCGATTCCCTCTTCTATGTGGCAGCCCCTCAAATATTGGAATACTGCTATCATGTCATCCATAGTCCTTCTTTTCACTAGTCTAGACATACCCAATTTCTGCAACCATTCTTCATATGTTTTAACATCTAGTCCCTAATCATCTTTGTTGCTCTTCTCAGCATTCTTTCTATAGTTTCAACATCTTTTTTAAATCATGGTGACCTAAATTGGATACAATATTCCAAGTGTGGTCTTACCAAGGCATTATGAATTGGTACTAACATTTCATGTGACTCGATTCTATCCTTCTGAGTAATGGTTGATGACAATGTGGTATTCTGAAACAATTGAAAGAGTCACTCTATTCTTCAAAAAACCACAAGAGAAGATATGTACTTTTGGACATCAGTGTGAAATGCAGAAAGAATAATGAAAACATTCTTGATTAATCCTTTTGGAACAGGAATGGGCCCTGGGATTTTCCCAAGGTGGTAAGCTAAGCTTTCCTTATATTGTTTGTAGTTGCCAGTTGAGTCCAGAAGAGTTAAGTCTTGGAAACAGACATCTTCATTGAAGATGCACAAAGTTAGATAAATCAAAGATGTGAATATGTGTATATATTGTGCTGTTTCATTCTGTGATCTTTTACAGGCATCACAACAATGTTCAGGCATTCATATAAGCATGTGGAAGGTTTCAGATCAGATAGGGCAGGGGTCCCCAACCTGTGGGAGGCGGTCCACTACTGGCGGTCCACTACGGGCCATGTGAATGGCTGGCCAGTGCGTCCCACTCGCATTAGTGCTGTCTTGAGTGTTGCATGGGTGCTAGCCCCACCCTGAGCATTGTGCAGGTGCCAGCCCTGTCCTGAGCATTGCATGGGCACTAGCCTCATTCCAAGTGTTGCGTGGGCGCTAGCCCTGTCCTGAGCATTGTGCGGGCGTTAGGCCTGCTCCCAGTGTTGTGCAGGCACCAGGCCTACTCCCAATGTTGTGCAGGTGCTCGTGTCACCCCCAAGTTTGCGCAGGCACTAGACCTGCCTGAAGCATCGCACAGACATTAGACCCACCCCCAGCATCACGTTCAATCAAATATCTAAAGGAGAACTACAATAATAACTGCTTGAGTTTAGAAACAACTCTCCCTGTGATTCAGGATCCTAGTTGACACAATGAACTGCTCTTGTCTTTTTGGTCAACATTTATGGAGTCAGGGGAGAGAAAGGCTGTGGCTTTATATGGAGGCCACTGTATAGCCTAGTCTGAAGGCCCTTATACATTCAACTAAGTGCCAGGATAATTGAAGCAGAAATGGATAATTTGTAGCCCATGAACTCATTTGACCATTTCTGGTACCCATAGTGACTGAATTTTGCTACCACATTTCCACTTTATTTCTGTGTTATTTTTTTCTTCTTCAAAATCATGAGTGGGGATGGATATGGGAGAACTCTGAAAAGGCCCCTCCTGTTGCTTTTAAAAATCCAACCTGGCTTAAATCCAATAGACTTAAAGTGCTGAAAATTGGGGTTACGATTTTTACACTGGTTTCTACTTTATTCTAAAACAAGAGAGATAGGAACCAAAATGTTCATATCATTCAAACTTCCTGTGACCATTCAGAAGGCAGACTTCTAGTCTCAAATTCAATGGCCATCCCTGCTACAGAGCATACTTAGGTTAGTTTTTAACATTTTTGTGAATTTATTGATTGGAAATCATTAAAAGGGGAAGTTAGTTGGCTGCTCATACAGTTTTGTTAAATGTTTGAGGATTAGCAATCAGCTTGTAATCATCCACCATAAAATTGAAACACACAGCCTGAAATGCAAAGAGTTTGGGTCTGATATTGCCATTCATTTTCAGAAAAGACTAATAAACCAAAGCAACCCATTACATTTTTCCAAAACACACTGGGTTTTGTTAGCTAAAAGCAGATAATTAAACTCCATTCTTTTTTTTTCTCCCTTGCAGAGCAAAGTAAGTAATAATAGAATCTTAATAAGATTTTTCTTTGCTAAACTCATTTGGGATCATTTTATTTTAAATATAATTAATGGTCATGTAATGATAACAATGAGCTGGTGTAAAAGCTCAGTAATGAGAAGACATTTGGGCATGCATGAAAGTCATAGGTTAGTGAAGAGAGAGAGAGGAATCTCTTCATTGATTTAAACCCTATATTCAGTTTACTGAGCAAATAGACCTATTACCTAAATCTAGATCTTTAAAAAAAAAGTTCTATCAAGTTCAGATAAGTTAGTGTAGAGTTTCTGCTAATCCATAGCAAGAGATCAAAATCAACATTGGTCTGTTTTTCATTTCAAATTATTTAATTTCAGCTAGAGTTCTCTCTTTTGTTTTCTGATTTACACACTTCTAGATCATAAGTAGTTGAGGTACAGCAGAAGGCAAATACCATAATAATATGACCACTTCAAACTGAAGATGGCTAGTAATAGAAATAGGATTTGTGTACAGATATGATTCTCCATATCTATAAATGCACATGCTGCAATTTTTTTCTATGTGCAAAAAATATGCAACTCTTCTCCTCATAGCAGAATTGAATTCTCAGGGTTCCGTTAGCAAAAATACCAATTTCTTGGAACAAAAATGAAAGCTCTAGCAGTAATTAACATTAAATTAATTTCAATTACTCCAAGCATATCTTAAAATATCTTCCTCTTTATCATATCACAATTTGGCTGCATCATTCAGAGGGAATTGCAAGATTACAACACAGGATTTTTTTTGGGGGGAGGGGGGGAGGGACAAAATTGCATATCCCTTTGAATAAAATATCTCCAACTACCTCATATCTGAGGCCCAGTTTCAAGTTTTCCATTAACATACTTTCCTAAATTAGGGTGCTACCTAATTGTAAGGACTTTATCTCTCAGAATTCCCAATCTAGCGCAGACATATTAAAAATTAAGCAGTTGAAGTCCAGAAATTGTAGCATATTGTACCATAATCTGTAAGCTGCTCATTGCCTTATAAGGAGAATAATTAAATAGATAGATAGATAGATAGATAGATAGATAGATAGATAGATAGATAGATAGATAGATAAAATTTAAAGGTGTCAGCCCTCACAGATTAGCCTGACAGGAAACTTGACAAGTTGAACTAATTCTAATTTATTGCAAGGCTATATATTTGCAAATCTGAAAGTATAAACTCCCCACTGCCATCTTTAACTGCTAGACCCATTTCTTTCTCTGACCATCAAGCCATTGAGGGCTCCTCCCTCTTATGACAGATGATTTCTTAGGTAGCTTCTCTTTCCCTCCCCCCCCCCCAAGGTCATCCACACTTCCATTACAGTGTAGAAGGGATAAAGAGGTGTAGATCAAAAAGCTAGACAAGGAGGAAAGAGAGTATCACATGCAAAGAGATGAAAAAATACTGAACTACCTAAAATGGAAGGGTAGAGAGTGAAGATGATAGAATTTGCAGAAATGGCAAGATTGACGTGTTTGATCAGAGATAAGACATCAAGTATTTTTTTATGAAAGACTGGACACCTTTTATGGATGTTTTTTGCTGAAAAGGAGAAAAAATGAACGGAAGATTTATGGATTTGCTGATTAAAAAGGGTTAATTATGTGAAAGAAGGAATCATGTATAATTTTAAAGAAAAGGGAGAGACACTACATTTGTAACTGTTCTAAAAATAAGAAGTTATTAGTTTACATTTTTTCTTGTCTCCCTCATCTGCTCTCTGCATTTTTTTCTTTTCTTTTTTTTAATTTGAAATTGCTAGGGAGCTATTCTTTGCAAAAATGGGTTAATTAAGAAGTATGGAGACAAGTAGCATCATAATATGAAATGGGGAGGTTAAGAAATGTAAGAGAAAAAAGAGAAGGGATTGAACAAATAGATCCCAAACCTGCTTAGGATCTAATGCACAAGCAGAGAAATAATGATTGCTGTCAATATTACAATGAACAAAGACATATTTTCAATTTTGCAACTACTAAGACTGTTGTTCAAGGAAATACAAAGAGAGACAGGAAAATGACAGAAGCCTGGGAAATGGGCCCCTTGTCAGTCAACAGGAGTGCTGATTTACCACCAGCTTATCAGATACTTAGGAGCTGAGGACTTGGCACCACAAGGAACAACAGCCAATAGCCAGCCATCAACATGCCAATCAACCAATAGGAAGCCACACTCAACCAGGCTTCACATAAATATGACTCACAGAAAAGCACACATGCCAGTAGAGAGAAGTTCCCTGAGGATAGGCTCCAGTTTAAGAGACTAAACCACTGGTCCCAATGAACAACCCATATTGGATCCTGTTGTCATTATTTGCTGGAATGAAATGTTGGTATTGATTTAGAATTGATAATTTGGAATTTTGAAAAAGAGTCTTCTCTTGAGAAGAAGATTCTTCCTCTAAAAAAGCAAACCATTTAAATAAGGCTGTTGCCAATAATGGACGATATATATGAAACTTCATTATCAAAATGATATCATTTTTATACATAATGTAAAATATTTAATAGCCAAAGCTTGCTGATTGACTATTCTTATGCTTTATCTTTTTCTTGCAGACACTGATGGAAGTAAAAGGTAAACATGAATAAATGGATATCTGACCTTTTATTTTCTCGCATGTTTTTTTCTCCTTTCTTCCACCCAATGGTTGATTTGGGAGACGCTTGTGGTTTGCATTCCACAGTGACTTTTTGGCCTTTGGTAACAATTATGGTCTTCTTCAGTTGACTCAGGGGAAAAGTTGGAGCAGAAGCTATTGAGAAAAGAAATAAATCTCAGTGGAACCATCCAAGCCCATTACGTCAAGAAATATTTTCAGAGATGGCTCATCACCTTGGTTGATTGGTTCGTTGACTCTCCCCTATGAAATGTCTTTATAATGCAAAATCATATAGCTGTTAAACAAAGTATTAGAGGATGGGCTGAGACCCATTAATCTTACCAACCTTATCTTACCCATTAAATATTCTTTCATGCTATAACTGCATTATTTATGAGTGAAAGAAAGAAATGAAAGATTGGTCAGGAATGACAGGATCAAAGGAACTAATACTATCTATTCCAATGGACAGATTTCATTGGAATAGACGTTATAGAAGTATTTCACAACTAGCACACTTCTGAAAACTTAAACATGCTTGCAGTTTAATACATAATTTCTATTGATGAGAATGATTTGTTTAATTCCATATACTGTATATCTAAATCTTTATAAATCTTAGTTCTATTGAACAGTTTTGATTGATGAAAGTCTACAATATTTATTGGATTTGTTGAGATAAGGGCAACAAGATAGCTCTTATGTTTTCAATACAGCTAGCTACTGTATACTTTCATTTCAGTAAAATTTATTTATCTTTAAATCAAATTTATTGGCTGCTGTACTCATAGCAACTCTTGAATTTATATTTATTTCTGTTCTACACTAAGTTTTTAAGTGTTATATAATAATAACAATATTTTTTTCCCATTCATATGTATCAGAAATATAACTCAGCTTGGAGTATTGCCTCAGGTTTTCAGACAGTGGATTTGTTTATAACATTTCTATTTTACCTTTTTCCCTATAAGGATCTGTCAAAGGATGTACAGGTAGTCCTTGACTTACAACTATTTGTTTAGTGACTGTTTGAAATTACAACAGCACTGAAAAAAGTGACCTATGACCATTTTTCACATTTATGACTCTTACAGCATCCCCAGGGTCATGTGATCAAAATTTAGTTGCTTGGCAACCGGCATGTATTTGTGACAGTTGCAGGGTCATGAAGGGTCATGTGATCACTTTTTGTGACTTCCTGACATGCAATGTCAATGGGGAATCTAGATTCACTTAACAACTGTTTTACTAGCTTAACAACTGCAGTGATTCACTTAACTGTTGCAAGAAAGATTGTGAGGTGGGGACACAACTCACTTAACAACTGTCTTGCTTTGCAACAGAAATTTTGGGCTCAATTGTGGTCATAAATTGAGGACTACCTGTATAACTAGATGGACACATTCATTTCATTCTTTTGGGGTCTGAATCAACACTGTATTCTTAGCAAATGAATGGAAAAAAGAATAACAACCTTAAATACAAACCTAAAATCTTCAATTCAGCACCAGCATAGATGGCTCCGTGCTTGTTTTCCGCTACGCATTGATACATTCCAGCATCAGACTGATTAACACTGTGGATCATCAGTACACCATTAACCATCTCAATTCTGCTCTGTAATGGAATAGAAACATAATTCTACAAAAGCAAAGAAAATCAGGAAAATTTAGTGGTTTTCAGTTTTAGCTCAAGTAATGATGGCTGTAGAGGGAATGACATATTTATGTGCTTAACACATATTAAAAGAGCTTGCTGAGTGCCATGTTGACAGTTTCTTCATTGTTTTATCTTTTTACTTTGTGATAATGTTAAGATGTTTTGGGTGCTTAAAACTGCATATCATTAATGTTGGCTAGGATAATCCTTGCTCATGTTTAAAAATGAGACTTTGGTGAAATCTCACTGTTCTGATCCTTTACTGCTCTCAGCAATTATTCAGAGCTACTAACACACTAATCTTGAAAAAATGAATAGAACTGTCTTATGTAGTTAGTGAGCCAAACCAAGCATAGACTATTATGATAGTTTACTGAGGATTTGATTTTTATTTAGTTTGTTCTATTTGTCATCACTGTCCAGAACTGCAAAGACAGCAACATTGTCAAACAAACTATAATATATAGCTAACACGATGCATAATGTTTCAGTACAATAAGTATCAGAACTGGAACAGATTTAGTTCACTATTTGGGAATAAGCAACTCCTGCTGAAGAATCCCTACCGAGTGACAATAAAAATATTAAATTTTATTTTTTGCTGGAAGAGTACTCATCTGAGCTAAGAAAATAAGCCTTTGATTTCTTGGTAGTGTTCCATCTTACTAGAAAATAAATGATATACAATAGGATTTTAGGTTATGATAGTTTTTCTTCAGTAAAGCTGGTGCTACATATATGCCTTTTCACTTGAGATGGCATACCGTTTTGAGGGAAGAGAGAACCATCCTTGAGATGCCATTATTATGAAAAGGGATTGAAGAAAACACTTTGCTACCACTGAAAAGCTGAGAAGAAGATGATATTTCAGAATGAGTGAAGTGAGTTCATTCTTCATGAGTATTTAAGCATTACTTTGAATAAAAGGGAAAAAAATGTCATTGCCATACTAAAGGCCACCCAGCCAAACAGAGGAAATAGATTAACTTTTTGCTAGTCAGCTAACTAAAGTATGTAGGAAGCACATCACAATAGTAATGGGGGACTTTAACTATCCTGACATCAACTGGGAGACAAACTCTGTACCAAGTGGAAGATCAAATAGGTTCCTGACAAACCTAGCAGACAACTTTGTCTCCCAAAAAGTAGAGAAGGGAACTAGGGGATTAGCCATTTTGCATCTAATTCTCACTAACAGAGATGAAATGATAGAAGGTGTTGAAGCCATAGGAACCCTGGGAGGAAGTGATCATGCAATATTGGAATTCAACATTATGGAAGCACAAGCAATAGAACACAGTCAAGCTAGAGTCTTGGACTTCAAGAGAGCTAATTTCAATAAACTTAGAGAGGGCTTGGGAAGGATTCCATGGATGAGAAACCTCAAGGGGAAAACAACTCAAGAAGCTTGGGAAATTTTGAAAAATGAGATAATAAAAGCCCAGTCTAGCACAATACCAACAAAGAGGAAAAATAACAGCTCTCAAAAGAAACCAGCATGGCTGCATAAAGAACTCTCTGATAAATTGAAAGATAAAAAGGACAAGTATAGAAAGTAGAAAGAGGGGCACATAACTAAGTCAGAATATCAGCAAATAGCTCGAGCCTCCAAAGATGAAGTGAGGAAAGCCAAGGTTCAAAATGCCCTAAGGCTTGCAACCAAAGTCAAAGATAACAAAAAAAGCTTCTTTCAACATGTAAAAAACAAGAAAAAAGTGAAGGAAATGATTGGTCCATTAGTGGGTGAAAGTGGCAAGAAGGTGACAAGCAACAGGGAGAAAGCAGAACTATTTAACTCATTTTTTGCATCTGTCTTTACACAAAGGGAAAAAACAGACCAACCTATCGAAAATAGTGCCATAAAAAACAGAATAGAAACGCAAGTTAAGATAGGCAAGAAAATGGTAAGTGAGCACCTGTTCAGCCTAGACGAGTTCAAATTGCCAGGACCAGATGGATTATACACCAAGGTTCTGAAGGAACTGGCAGATGTGATCTTAGAACCACTGAACTATATTTTTCAAAGATCCTGGAGCACAGGGAAACTACCAGAGGACTGGAAAAGAGCTGATGTAGTTCCCATCTACAAAAAATGAAAAAAAAAATGGACCCAGGAAATTACAGACCTATCAGCCTGATCTCAATACCTGGGAAGATTCTGGAAAAATTAATCAAACAACGAATCAATGAACACCTAGAGGCAAACAAAGTCATTACTAAAAGCCAACATGGGTTTGTCAAAAATAGATCATGCCAGACAAATCTTATTGCATTCTTTGACCAAGTGACAAAATTAGCCGATCAGAGGAATGCTGTGGACATAATTTACTTAGACTTCAGTAAGGCATTTGATAAAGTAGATCACAACCTACTACTTGACAAGATAGAAAAATGTGGGGTAGAAAGCACCACCACCAGATGGATCTGTAGCTGGCTGACCGGCCGTACTCAGCGTGTGGTCCTCAATGGAACTGCATCTACCTGGAGGGAAGTGTGTAGTGGGGTGCCCCAGGGCTCTGTTCTGGGCCCAGTGCTCTTCACTGGGGATAGATGGGGAACTCATCAAATTTGCAGACGACACCAAGCTGGCAGGAATAGCCAACACTCCAGAAGACAGGCTTAAGATACAGAATGATCTGGACAGACTTGAACACTGGGCGCTATCTAACAAAATGAAATTCAATGGTGAAAACAGCAAATTTCTACATTTAGGCAAGAAAAATCAAATGCACAGGTATAGTATAGGGGGTACCTTGCTCAATAGTAGTAACTGTGAGAGAGACCTCGGAGTCCTAGTGGACAATCACCTAAATATGAGCCAGCAGTGTGCTGCAGCTGCCAAAAAGGCCAACGCACTGCTAGGCTGCATTAACAGAGGGATAGAATCAAGATCACGTGAAGTATTAATACCACTTTACAATGCTTTGGTAAGGCCACACTTGGAATACTGCATCCAGTTTTGGTCACCGCGATGTAAAAAAGATGTTGAGACTCTAGAAAGAGTACAGAGAAGAGCAACAAAGAGGATCGGCATATAAGGAACAATTGCTGGAATTGGGTATGTCTAATTTAATGAAGAGAAGAGGGGGGACATGATAGCAGTGTTCCAATATCTCAGGGGCTGCCACAAAGAAGAGGGTGTCAAGCTATTTTCCAAAGCGCCTGAAGGCAGGACAAGAAGCAACAGGTGGAAACTAAGCAAGGAGAAAAGCAACCTAGAACTAAGGAGAAACTTCCTGACAGTTAGAACAATTAACCAGTGGAACAACCTGCCTCCAGAAGCGGTGAATGCTCCAACACTGGAGGTTTTTAAGAAGAGATTGGGCAGCCATTTGTCTTAAATGGTATAGGGTTTCCTGCCTGAGAAGGGGGTTGGACTAGATGACCTCAAAGGTCCCTTCCCACTTTACTACTACTACTACTACTACTACTACTACTACTACTACTGCTGCTGCTACTATTATTATTATTATTATTATTATTATTATTATTATTATTATTATTATTACCTTGCAGTAAAATGCAATGGAATACAAGAAATGAATCTCTAACAATATTTGTACCTGCAGGTTAACTAAATACTTCTGTAATAAAGGCTTACAATCCATTTATAGATATGGATATAGATCAGTGGTGGGGTTCAGCCAGTTTGCACCAATTTGACAGAACTGATAGCTAATGTTTTGCTGCCCACGCCCAGAATGGACTTCCGGAAGCGGCATCTGCACAGAGAACTGATTGTTCACGTATTTGAATCCCACCATTGATATAGATAAGTATAACTAGCTTTCTCGGGTCCAGGAACTGATTTTATTAGGAGTAAAGAGCACAGCAAATGACACTGTTGATGCCAAAATATAATGGAGATCTTAACATTAAATAATTAGTTCAAGATAAAGAAAAGTTGATTTTTTTAAAAAAGTATTTTCTTGTAATAAGAAGACTTCAGAACTTTACAATGCCTTGTATTTTCTGTTTTATTAGTGATAAGGAAGAAGGACAAGTAGAATGGTTGTTGAAGGGCTATTTTCTTGATGGCATCGATAATAAAAATAAAAGAGTTGGAAGGGACCTTGGAGGTCTTCTAGTCCAACCCCCTGCTCAGGCAGGAAACCCTATACCATTTCAGACAAATGATTGTCCAGTCTCTTCTTAAAAACTTCCAGTGTTGGAGGTGTTGTCATGAGATTTATGTCATAGGGCACATAAAATAATAAAATATATAAAAGGAAATGCACAAATTTAAAAAAGTGTCTCTTCAGGTTCTTGTGGATTTTAATGCACACTTTAAGAAAGAAAAAAAGATACAGATTTAGAATGCCACAGACCTAAGGAAAAAAGAAATATGGATTCAAAACAGGTGATACAAACTCAAGCCATAACAAAAATATCTTTTAGTCTTAAAAAAAATGAAACTTAATGAAGGCCCCTAAGCTCCTTGAAACATCAAAACTCTTCCAACAGTTACCAACAAATTAGAATGCGAATATGAAAAATGAGAAGAATTCTTGAATGCACAGGAAGTAATCACATTCCCTGTAATTAATTTATATTAATGTTATTTAAGTCAAAGCTATTTTTTTTGGTTGTGATCATCTCAGATTTTTTTCCTGGCTCCATCTACATCTGGAATTGTCTCCACTTGGAAAATGTTTTGCCCTCTGCTTTAGAATGATAGTAAATATATCATTATTTTACTTCCTAATTCAATTGGCGTCTGAACCCAAGGCCATATTTTAAGACAGGGCTCTCCAAACTTGGCGACTTTAAGACTTCTAGACTTCAACTCACAGAATTACAGCCCTACTGACTGGGGAATTCTGGGAGTTGAAGCCCACAAGTCCTAAATTTGCCAGGTTTGGAGAGCCCTGTCCTAAGACAATCTGAAAGCAAATAAAACTATAGCATACTTACCTCTGGCCGTAGAGTATTCCCATTTTTAAGCCAGCGATAAGTTGGCCTTGGCTTTCCAGAAGCTCTACACTCCCACCGGAGTTGATCCCCACTGTCTAACTGGGTATCGTTCAGCCTCTCTGTCCAGTGTGGATATGCTGCCAACAATAACAACAATGACAGAAGATCCCAGTGATTAATATTGTGGAACCTTTAACTGATACCTTGGTAGTTTGTTGTGTGGACTTCAATTCACTATGGATGACTGGGGAATTCTGGGAGTTGAAGTCCATGCATCTTCAAACTGGTAAGGTTGAGAAACACTGCTTTAAACTAATAAGGTGATCAAATATGAACTAATTTAGGTGATCAAATATTACTGGTGATAAGGATGGGTGGTACTTTTGCACATTTTTCCAGCAATGGGTCAGACACAAGCTGATCAATCAGAAGTGGCTGAACTAAATGAGGTAACAAAGTGAATCTCAAAATATCCTGGCATGATGGGGATGGTGTTGATTAAATGTCTTTGGGTGGTAACATCATTATTGCAAGCAAGGGCCAGAAGAGCAAAGATATCATCACTACATGCATTATATGGATGTTGTTAACTTGATATGGATTTCAAGCCAAAAATAGCATATTCCATGCTGCTTCAACTGTGTAAAGCACAAAAAAAAGGCCCCCATTTTGTCATGCTGTCTCTGCACACTGAGAGCTCTGCTGGATTTGGAAGCAATGTGGAAGCTTCAAAATAAGGCATGAGAACAATTGCACCTATTGGCAAATATTATGATGGACTAAATTTAGTTCAGTTAGTGGCTGCAGGTAAATTTGTTAACTCAAGCAGAAATGGGGATAAGTGAACTTTTAAAAGAGAACAATCAGGAAACATGCCAGTACTTAGATACAAAAATCATTGACTGTCAACTCTATCCAAGACAAATTGTTGCATTATTTGCTACCTAAAGTCTGGTTTCCCCTTTAGGATGTTCTTATTTAATCATGATATGAACATTATACTTCAAGATTAAGGTAAGTCTAACTGCTCTAAGAAGTTTAGATGGAATGAAGGTGAAATGTAGCAGTTCACTTTGCTTTTACACATAGTTTTTTTTTAAAACAAAAATATGTTTTGCATGGATCTTTGTCAAAGGAAATCACGTCTTCAAAGGTTTGCAGGTTCTTTTTCCCCCTTGATTTGTTATCTCTTCCTTTCTTATCCATTGGCATTTTTTTGAGATTGAGATTCAATTCTACAGTAAAAGAATGAAAAGGATGCAAACATCAAAGTGTTCTGTGTAAGATCACCATTCTGACATAGAACTTGACATCTTCATTAGGAACTGACATTACACTTCTATCATTTATATAGTTTGGCCTCATTTGTAATAGACAGACAGAAACTCCATTAAACGAAGGGGTGAACGAAGGAGAGTACTTTTACAGCTTTCTCTCTCTCATTCTGAATATTCTGGCTCAATCAGCTTTATGTTTTGACCAAACCTTTTTGAATAGGATGAATCAATTTGTAGTCATGTTGTCAAGGGTATATTTATATTACAGGCTGTAACAACATTGGATGTGTTCAACTGTAAAATTAAGTTATGTTTTAACATTGTGAGACTTACTATGAAAAGAAAATTTGGTTCCTCCTAAATTTCTCCATTCTGTTTCCTCCTTTATCTTCAGACATACAGTAGGAACAAGATTGTCAAACATTTCCACTTATGTTTTAGATAAAATGAAATGTATTGTGTAGCATAATCAAAACTCTAAATGTATAAGTAAATACATTTAGAAAAAAAGAAGCCAGTTTTGGTATAATTTAGTCTGAAGTAATTTTACAGCAATCATAGTTAAAACTAACATGTTTTGTCCATTTAGTGAAATAGCAAAAAACTAGGATTATACATTATACTAAGTTTTAAAGAAGTTGGTTTAATATGGCTTATGATTTAGAATATTGTGTGCTCCTACTTAATGATCTGTGGTTAAAAATAATGACTTAACATGACATGTAACCGCCCAAAGTTACCTTGTGGTAAGAGGTAAATAAATGTAATAATAATAATAGTTTAATAATAATTTAATTGAGAACAAATGGCCAGAATTGAGAAGACAGCCACAGGCAGCAAGTGCCACCTCTGCAAAGAAGTTGAAGAAACAGTGGAGCACATAGTTAGCTGCTGCAACAAGATCATACAGACTGACCACAAGCAGCGGCATGACAAACTAGCAACAATGGAGCCTTGGAAGATCTGCAAGAAATATCATTTGGGTGCAAGCAAGAAGTAGTGGAACCATAAAAAAGACAAAGACATGGAAAATGAAGAAGCTAAATTGCTTTGGGTCTTTAGAGTTCAAACAGACAATCACCTGCCACATAACACCCCAGACTTAACAATTATAAATAAAAAAAGACCAAAAAAAAAAAAGTCTGACTAGTGGATGTGGCAGTACCTGGAGACAATATAAGAGAAAGAACTGGAGTAGATCACAAAATACAAAATAGTGCAAATAGATATAGAATGACTGTGACAGAAGCAAGCAAAAATGGTCCCAATAGTAACAGGTGCCTTGGATGCAATCCCAAAACAATTAGAGCACCACTTGAACACCAGCGACATTGACAATCAGTCAATTGCAAAAGGCAGCCTTACTCAGAACAGCTTACATCCTGAGACAATACCTTGAACACCATAAAAACACCCACATCTGCTTATTCCAGATTATTGGAAAGGCCTTGATAAGTAGATAAAAATGTCAAATCCAGTCTGGACATCTGACTATGTGGCAAATCATCATCATCATAATTTAATAATATATTCTCAGTGGAGCAGTAATTTATCCACAATGGAAAGAAGAACTTTTCAGTATTGCATACATAACTGAAGAAAGATACAAAGTATATGAGTCTGGAAATGTCTTGGCTCATTACTGCATCACTAAATAATGATTTACTGTAGAATGATCAAACCAATTTAGTTGTACAATTGAATCTCTGGATTCCCCCTCATTTACAAATCATTTACTTCAGCAAAATTCAGAGTCTTAATTTTATGTTCTGCAGAAATCTCCAACTATAAGGCTAATTCCAAACCCTATTTATCTCATAAGGCTTTAGCATTGACAGCTGATGGTGCAAACTACAGGATAAATGTATGTTATTGATACTAGCTGCCAAGAAAAAAAAAACTTTTTTCAAATTAATAAGGCTTAGCTCATTAATCCAAATTGCTGAAGAGTGTTTAAATCTCTTTTATGTGACACTGAAGTCTAACAGGTTCAGAGGCCTGAATATCATGGAGTGCCAAATAAGATATTTGGCAATTTAGGTTGGTAATTGAGAACCAATACAGCAAAGGATATGTTTTGGATCGAATGAGATCACTGGAGCACTTTAATAACTGTTATTATACTGAACTAACTTTAAAAATGAATCACATAAGCTATTTGGTATTTGGCCAGTTTCAATTAGAGTTTAAATAACTTCAAGAAAAGCATTCTTATTCTGAGCAGCTGGCATAACAAATATAATAGCCTCAGCTAGATGCGAATAATGCTTGTTGAACTATGGGATATTTATATGAACTGGTTTGCACTGGTTTGTCCAGCAAAGATTGAGTAGTTTTTGAGAACATATCAATCAATTTCAAAACCTTGCTTCAAAAATCCATCATGAATTGGGTTTGTCCAGTTATATGAAAAGAAGAACAAGGAATGATATGATAGCAATGTTCCAATATCTAAGGAACTGCCACAAAGAAGAGGGGGTTAACCTATTTTCCAAAGCATCAGAAGTCAGGACAAGAAACAATGGATGAAACTAATCAAGGAGTGAACTAACCTAGAACTAAGATTTTTTTTTCCTGATAGAACAATTAATCAGTGGAACAACCTGCCTCCAGAGGTTGTGAATGCTCCAACAGTGGAAGTTTTAAAGAAGAGTTTGGAAAACCATCTGTCTGAAATGGTAAAGGGTTTCCTGCTTGAACGGGGTTGGACTAGAAGACCTCCAATGTCTCTTCCAAGTCTGTTATTCTATTATGAATCTAATATAGTAGCAGATGATTCAGTTGTCATAAGACACACCACTTTTTTTCTGCTATCAAAGATCAACCTCTGATTACATCAATTAAAATGACTGAAGGTAGAAAGCAAAATCTCACTCTTAACTTATATATGTACATTATAATAGCCACCATTCAACTATTTTGTGTGAGTCACAAAGAAAATGAAAGAGAAAGATTGGGTGTGTGTGTGCTAACAGAGCAGGATGGGCTGCATGATGCCTTAGTTCTAGGCAGTGCTTTTTTTTGTCATAGAACTCACCAGTACTCACCTTTTTTTGACAGATTTTCAAAGTTTTAAAAGTAACTTTTGAAAATTTGATGTTTGATCCACTTGGACTTGAATCGCCCTATTGAGCATAGCAGGTCAGCAGCAAAATCATTAAAACAGGGCATGGGGGCTGCTTGTGTGTTGACTCTGATGCATGCATACTTTGTCTGACTGCTTGACTTGGGGCACTGCTTGGCTTGTGATTGGTCATGTGGTCATGCGCTGAGTGCTTACTGTGGACAACAACTGTTATGTTTCATTACACAACTGACGTGTGTGGGTGTGTGTACAGTGATTGACTATGTGCGAAAGGTAAATAAAAGATTAACAAGATGTGAGTTCCGGCATCTTTTTTCTTACAAAAAAATCACTGGTTCTAGGCATTTAAAGTCTTAAAACTGAGGAGAGAAAATGAATATAATTATTTACTTTCCTAATTATTGCCTTTGGTATAAGTACATGAAACCAGGAACTTTTAATTAAATCGGATGAAAAATGTAACAGTAATGAAAAGTACAAAAATGGGTTGGATTCCATATAAATCATTCTTAAACTAGATTGGCCAGTTGAGAAGAAACTAAAAAGGGAAAAGAGGAGAGAGAGAGAGAGGGAGGGAGGGAGGGAGGGAGGGAGGGAGGTAGAGAGAGAGAGAGAGAGAGAGAGAGAGAGAGAGAGATGTGTTCAAGGAGAAGAAATGGGGCCATCTGCAAGAGCTTCCCAGTTAGATGGTGAGAGGATTAGTGGAAAGCATTAGATGTTCCACTTTCTGCTTGACCTGAAGACATTCAAGTTAAGGGAACAAGATACATAGTGT